TTCTCCCTACCGTGTATATAATGCCCCTCCTCCCTACCTCTCTCCGTCCCTTCACCCCCTCTCGCCCGGCCGCCCACCATCCAACTCTCCCCATCGCCCCTATTCTCCCCACCGATATTCACTCTCGGCGCCCCTCGGTATATCCCAGCGACGTTGCCGGGTGTTACATAATAGCCGTGCACCGTTGCCAGTTTTCTATAGACGGCATGCAACGTTGCCATCTTGAACCGGTGTACCATGTCGGGTACGGTCTGCCTCTGCCTGTTTGCCTGTCTTGCCTGCCTGCTTCTCTACCTACCTATCTACCCACCAGAATCTGGCTAAGCTCACGTTAAACCAGCATTTTTCAGACACTCTAAAACGGTCTTCTTTAAAAATTAAGAAAAATAAAAACATAGAGTAACGTCGAATAATTTCCATCCATTTCGATGCGTGACTTTAATATCGTTGAAAGTTGGTATTATTAGCGATTCTATGTTTGAGAAATTTTCTATAGAAAGAACGATTACCGAGAAAGACTTAGACACAATGTGAATAGCATATTGGATGATAGATACTGAACTTGGAATGTATATATATATATATATATATCGTGCACATCAATCGAAATCGATATTATACTAGTTTTTACTGTATAAAGTGTCACAAGCGTTGTTACTTAATTTTAAAGAATGTTCGAGGTTTCGTTTTATTAGAAATTGCATTTATTGATTAACTATTTATATGCGCTTGTGAAAAGTCGATGTCAAGACTCGTGCTTTTATATTAGCGAAAAGGTGTTTGCCTGGCTCCTGACCGATCTATTATGGCTATTCCCTTTGTCCCTGAGAACTTAGGCCCTACCCTAGTCCGGATGTCTCGGGCTGGTTCCGGATCTCGGATTACCAGACCCCTCGAGGCGTTTCAAACGGAGCCTCGCTCTACTTATTCCATGCTTGAAAAATATCAACTGAATGTGGTGAGAAAGATTCCTTTGTTCTTTATTAACCTCGTGGCTCCGTTACGCATTAATTTTGCATTAGATACGTTGCACAAGAAACATAACCGTTCATCATTTTTAGTTTTAACTGCTGCTCCATCGATAAAATAAAATAAACCAAATATTTTTGCAAAAAATGCAAGATGTGATTTAGAAGAAAGAGTATATCTCTTTATTTCTTAGTCTACGATATATTCTTCTCTATCAAAAAATTGTCTATAAAATATTCAAAAATTATCATCATCTTTAAAATAAATAAATTTGTAAAATACGCCATATATTTTAAAAAAGAATTTAAAATCTATATATCTATAGAAAAGATACAACATATGTATGTGTATTATATATATATAGCATATATATATATATATCCTTTGTTGGAAGAATATGTTACATATGCGATACAATTATGTCGGCATGGGGCCCGTGAAGAGGGATTATTTTTGAATCCGAAGGTAGGGCCTTGAAATCTACAAAAACGCACGTTCTGACTGGCCCCAAGATGAAAGCGAGGTTGCCAATTTTATCGTGGTGCGCACTACCGACAACGTCGCTGCAAACTCTATCGATTCCAGATCTACAATTTCTCGTGAGCCCTCTGGGTCACTCGAGCACGTTTCCGTGGTATGGTACGTGACTATAAAAACCATTACGTCCATTATCAAAAGTTGCGATAAAAATAAAAGAATTATCATATTCTCCTCAGGTATTTATCTCATGAGAATACTTGTTACTTTATACCGAACATGCCAGTACCGCCTCGGACTTCATAAAGCATTCTATTAATATCGGACAACGGAACGAAATGTTCTACATTCTGCAAGGGGAGAAGAAAAGAAAGTTTCGCGAGCAGGTGTTTCGATTATACGACCACTTTTGGAAGAGCTATGAGGATATGGAGTCGTAAAAAATAAACACCAGGTAGAGGGAATTGGGAGGGAAAAGAAGCGCAAAATGGATGAAGAGGAATCTAGAGACAAAAACATATTACGATGACTCGAGAAATTTTTGGGCAAAATATAAAAAAACGATTAGGAATGCTTCTTACGTAACAAGTTTGTTACAAAGTATCCTAGTGCGATTTAATTATAATTATTTATCGATTCTTTCATGAAATATGATTACAAACAAAATATAAAACAATTCTAAAAATATATTGTACCGTTATTTGTGAATACTGCATACTTTAAAGAAAAATGGGGGCACTCGCGTTTAACAACTATTAAACAGGGTCACTGAACGGTATATTTGCTCCATTCGATTTTATGCTACCGAACAACGCATGAACCAGAAAGAACGATTGCAGAAAATTCTTGAAAATCGATTCTGAATTAAAAAATATTTCTAATATATAGCATTTTAATTGATTACTTAATCAAATTAACATAATTTAAATAATCAATTAAAATGAATGACATATTTGAATATTTGTATACTTTCGTTGCAGAAACTATGTTTTATTTATAAAAGTTTCTTTTTATCTATTATAAAATATCTCAAAAATTTATAAAATTTCAACAGATATAAATTCTAAATTTATTTCTAAATTTATATTGTTAAAATGTGCAAATATATTAAAGCATTGAAAACTTTAATAATAAATCATTTTTATCATTCCAAAAGAGAAATTCTGAAATTTATCATTATCCTTACGATAATGAATAGATGATTTTTCGATTTTCTAATTTCGAATATTGTATTTAACTTATTGATAAAATAATATTCATAAATATCGTATAAGCGTAGCAGAAGCAAGAAAAAGTTGGGAATCACTGTAAATTTCAGTCAATGTTTTTGACATGAATCGTACGCCTCCTTCTTGAACTCGCCGTCTTAGCCGGTGAAAGTCGCATGTTCTATATGACCAAGAGCCCTTGGAAAACATACAACGAAGTATATACATGTGTGTATTTACACATGTACAATACATATTTCGTAGCATAATACAGAGACATGTATAGACTGCATTATTATAAAATATTAGACACACTTAACGCATTTATAAATTATTTGAATTAATAAGAAATATCAGATCGATTTTTTTGTATATTTATAAAATATTTCTCCTATAAAAATAAAGTACAAAAAAATATTTTTTAAAATTTTCTTGATAAATTTTGCATATAGAATGGAAAAAAAAATAATACATAAATAATAAATATATTTTCTAAAATATTATTATTACAATATTATTTTGATCTTTATTCACATCTATAAATTTAGAATAATAAATATGTACACAATATGTGTACTAGTTTTTATCATTCACTCACGAGAATCTATGTATCTTAAAATAAAAAAATATAAAGCACTAAATTATTCTTACAAATGATTGCCACAAATTATTATATTTTTTAAAAAAACAAGACAAACTTTATCGACACTTGGAAGAAAAAAACTCTGTATCAAGATTGTCCGAACAGCGGATGAGCGACCAACTAGTATACGAGTTCGCAGAACGATGATCGAGGCAAGTATACGGAGTGCTCCGTTTACCAAGCTGCCAACTCTGTCGCTTTGCTGTGCGAGAGGGTAAAAGATGCGATGTTGTCGGGCCAACAACACGTAAACGACCGGCACAACATGGCAACGTCGCGAAACGAGAGACACGCTGTGAACCACGAAGGAGAAGGCAACGTAGTCGTTTCGGTTTGAAACGCAATGCCGGCCGCTTGCCAGATACCGTAACAGGGTCGACGGATGAAGAAATTTGGCGGTATCGGCTTCTTCATGCAGGTGTTCATCGAGGAGACCTCGAGATCTGAAATCTAAAAAATTCTTTGCGGCAAAATATCCCTAATCTAAGGAAATCTACAATATTCTTAATACCAATATCTTTTTATTGATATTTTATGCAGAAATATTGTAAAATATAAAGAATATCGTAAAAGAAATATCAAAATTTATTTTATAATTCAAAAAGAGGAACGAAAATAATTGATATGATTATCTTCTTAATCAAGATTAAAATATAGTACATTTGAACACGTACAATATTCAAATAATATAAGAAAAATGAATTATACAATACTTTAAAATCAAATATAACATTTTCTTGCCATTTTTGCAATTATTTTATAGGAGTCACAATGCAATTAACTACATCTCTAGTGGCGCAATGCGTCAAGAGAACGTTCCGATTAATTGTTCGATCTTCGACCTCGTGTATTTATTTACGTTGAACTGATATGAAATGGAATTTCTCGAGCTTTACAAAAAAAGAGACTTTAACCAAATTTAAAATTAATTTAAAGATATTCATTATATTGTTTTTCATGTTTCATTATATTCTGATTTTATGAGAATTTTATTAAACCTATATTACCGACTAAATCATTTCTTTTGTATTTTATAAAAACAAATCATTTTTCTCTTTTTTTTTTTTTGAAATATAACAAAATACGATTCATTTATGGCATGGTTCGACAAAGAAATAAAGAATTCGATTGTCGCTATAAGGAACAACACTCACACAAGGAAACGATCCCTGTGCACATAGATGCTATGTAACTCGGATACATATTTGTGACAGCTCATATATCATTGTAGGTGCACTAACACAAGAAAAGACGTGTGACTGGAGGTTGTCGGAGAGTCGAAGGTTTTCGGATGGGTGACGTCGAGTGGAACACGAGGACGAGGCGCAGAGGAAAGGTGGGGTGAGCATGGGGTGCAGGGGCGCGGTACAGTATAGAGTGGGGAGAGATGGGGCAGAGTTGGGCTGGAGAAGGGGAGGTGGTCGACCACGCGCGATCAATATAACAAAATACGCCGGCAACCCGCACGTACATACATGTACGCGTGCGCGCACACACGTATATTTTCAAGCATTCTGTCAATACATCGACTTATACATGCACCTATACGCATACACACACGTATAAATTGTAAATATAATCTAAACGTGCACACAATCTCGCAAGTTGAGTGCGTATATATACGTATATGTGTATGAAAGCTGCGCATACTCTTATCTCCGTGTGACCATAAATTGCAAACGCGATACGTGTGCATATTACTTGTGCACAGCCATATATACGTATGCACACTCGATGGAAACAGTTATATCTCGCGTGTAACAAACGCAGAGAAATTCGAAGGTACATCATGTGCCATGCGTGTATATATGAAGAAAATATACGTTTAAATAAGTGGGTAAAACGCATTGTACGAATACGTTGCACATGCCGTACGCAGAAGAATGTAAGTACCGGACGTGCGTTTCAAAATGTATCTTTGGAATCAGAATTCCTAACTTCATGCAAGGAAACAGTCCAAAGAATCAAAATCTAATAAATTTCTTATTAGATTAAGTATCATTTTAAATCATTTTCGTAAAATATAGCTACAATAATTTTTAAAATATTTAACGTGAAGAATATAATATAATAATATTTAAAGTGATTATTATATACATGCAACTAAATGTGTAAAATATATTTTGAATATTGAATTTATATACGTAAATATTTAAAAAAGTGAATAAATAATTGTAAATTTTTATATTGAGTATATGTACATCTTAGATTGTATAATATAATTAAAATATTTTTGTGTTTTTTTAAAATATTAAATTTGAGTTCAGAAGAGTATTGTCTATAATCTATATTTATAAAATTAAATTATTTTAATAATTTAATAAAACTTTATAAATAAGAAATTTTATATATATATATAGTTAAAATGTCACAATTTTTAGCAATTTTCTAAATAAAAATCTATATATATTTTTCAAAAAAATTTTAAAATTATATATAAAATAAAAATAATTTGAATATTATGCATTCTTTATACACATATTATATTTATAAATATAATATTTTAAAAACGTTTTTTATAATTGTAAAAAAAAATCCAAATATTATAAATAAAGTAAAAAATTACAAACAAAAAGAAAATATGATGGATAAAAAAAACTATATTAGATAAAATTTTATCATTAAATAATATTTAGTATGTCTTCATTAAAATATAAAAATATATAATATTAATAATTACAATATAATATATATATATATATATATATATAAAACAGAAATCTTAATTAAATTATCATTTTAAATGTATTAAACAACTTTTTTCATAAATATTCTAAGACATATCTCATTGCTTATCATACTCATTGCTTTCGAGAAACGAGAGGTCAACGGCGTAACGACGCCACCCGCCATTTTAAGGACGAACCTTTAAGGCCTATAACGCATGGTAGATGACTGTAAGAATGAAGCCAGTGTATAAATGAAGTATCGCCAGCTGGCACGTAAAATGTAGCGCCACGAGCAATGCGAATATTCAGTAACGTGTACGTTTATAGAAGAAAAATTAATGACACAATAAAAATTAGAATCCATATTGAAAACATCGAAAATCCATTTCGATGTTTGAAAAGATTCTTTTTTTATTACCAAAAATTAATCGATATCATACTATATCATTTTATTCAATATATTTATATATTATATATTTCAATATATTAATTATTGTAAATCCGAAAACAGAATTTGTTAAGTTCAAAAGCACTATGAACTTATAAAAACATTCTTCACATTTTTCAGTATTTTATAAGTATTTTATAAGTAAATTGATAAAATATCTTAAAACAATTGTATGTTCCAAATGTGAAAAAACGTATGATATAATTATAGTATAATTAATTTACGATGTAATTATGAATAAAGACGATTTTCGATCTTCAACTCGATATTTTTTATAATTTCCTAAAACTCTTAAGAAATATTATAATATAAAAATTATTGAAATAAATAATATTATATTATATATTATATAATATTATATTTGAATTATTATTGTAGTAAAATTTTCTATTCATGTAACGAAATGTATTCATATTTATAAGAATTCAAAATTTATAAGAATTATACACATTTTTTTTGAAAATAAATAATTACTTAAAATAATTATATTGATTTTATTTACGAAAAACATTTTTCATTTTTCTTTCTTTTTCTTTTTATTTTAGACTTTTGGATATCCGAAAGTTGAGCGCCACTGTGCCACGTCACCGTTAGTTTTCACTTCTGTTTTCCTGCTTCGATCTCTGCTCTTTAACAATTCTACTTGTATTTTAAGTGCATTTCTATTTTATATATTATATAATATTACATATAATTATATGCAAAAGTAAATATTTTTAATAATATATTACAAAACAAAAAATTTTTTAGAAAATAAAATTGAAATGATTAATAAATTTAATATTCTCAGTCTTATTCTTTTAAAATATGATAAGTTTATAAAATAGGCTAAAACAATATTTAAAGCAAAATACAAAAAAGGACACAAAAAAATATTTTACTCAATAAAATTGACAATTAATAAAAGAATATTAATAAAATGTTTTCAAGTTCATGTAATAATGTTATATGATAAAGTAGAAAAATCAAAATAAATTTTTCTTAATAAAATTATATTCGATAATTACGATATAATGAACGATATAATAGAGATTAAACAATTATTATTTTTTGAGAGATTTATATTATTTATAAAATTATTTATCCAAATATTAAACTCGCATTTTTATTCCAATGATATTTTATGAAATATTTTAATATCTTATTTTTTTTTTACGATTTTAATAAAGCAAAAATTTTAAATAAATAATGTATAATAATAATAATAATTAATACATTACAAAAAATTCTTTTATAGTAAAATTTTTAAGTTATTTTGACTTTTTTTTTCTTTCTGAATATATGAAAAATATATCCTGCTTGAGGATCCACAGTTTGAGTACCGCTGTCGAACAATAACTTCGTGCCGCTGCGAGCTCTCAAAATGGCTGTCCTCAGCTATTATTACTTCGGGGAAAAAACAAATGACGGCGCGCTCACGCTACGAGAGGAGAGACAGAGCCAAGGCTCTTCTTCGTATACGCACGCCTTGTCGCGTGTGTATGTGAAGTGTGGGTGTGTACATATGCGTGCAGGATCCTCGATCTACGTACAGACTTAAAAACATCAAGGTACACCTTACGCGTGTTCCTGAATTCCGATTCTATCAAACTGATAATACCACTCCTTTGTTACAGACACGGAAAAAAAAATAATAAATAACAAACAGATTTGTGCGACATTCCTTTATGATTGTTCATTTACCGGTCGTGAAACATTGTATACAACGCTATAGAAATTCCAGCTTGGCTAGAATCGACAGTTTTAAAGTCTGGCAGACGCTACTAGCGAAAGAAATGATCATATAATCATAAAATTTTCGACAAAATTATATTTGATCGTATTTAGACGGTGATAATAATAACGATTTTTCTATTTTTTGTTCTTAAATGTATTTGTATATATTTTTTTTTCAATCGATTTATTCTAGAACTAACGATTCTGAGTATAAGTCTAAATATTTCTAGTCGGTAAATTTTATCACACATCTCAAAGTTCATGTTCTCTGATATCTGAGGGAAATAGGTATACGAATAAATAAATAAATAAATAAATAAATAAATAAATAAATAAATAAATAAATAAATAAATAAATAAATAAATAAATAAATAGAAAAATAAATAAAATTTTTTAATATTTTTAAATAATATAACTAAGAAATGTCAATAACACAATAAACTAAGATAATATTTGAATTGATATATGTATGTATAGTTATGTAAGATTGTCTTTTTGTCAGAAGGCAAGAAGACGATATAAAAGAAAAAAAGTTCACTCACCGTTTGAAATGCTCTCGTATACGATCCTCTCGGATGTTTTCCGGCAGATTTCCAACCCACAAGTGACGTGTCTCTCTAACCATTTTGCTCCGAACTCTTCATTTGGGATCGGATGTTGTGGTATCGTTTGGCGGCACTGTACAACGACACACAACTTCGCCCGACGCTAATCACGGCACACTCTCACCACACCACCGATATTCAATACCGCCAGCAGGTCGGCTAAAAGAAACTTCTTTTCTCTTTGCCGGATTTTTTGCAATCGGTGTTTACTTGTTTCGCGACAAATCAATAAGTAAATAATAGATTCGATATGACACAAATGATATTTCTTATTCAATTCACGAGAAGAAACTTTCTCATGTATAGCTCGCGATACACACGCGACAAGAAACGAAGAAACCGTTACATGTATTCCACGACGAAGAAAGGAGCTTCCTCCCACTTCGACACTCCCAATTTAATCACTGGCAACAAACAAATTATCACTAGTCACTAGCCGGAAGGTGGTGACCCCAAGCACGATGAGTGCTGTCGTCAGGGCAGCGCCGTGGAACGATCGGCCAACAGAAGAGGGTGGCTACAGAGCTCTCGCAATAAAATTTTTGCGTCGCGACGCACGCTGACGACAACGACGACCACGAAGAAGAAGAGGAGGAGCCTCGATAGTGGACACCACTGATGGCAACGGCTAGAAGGATCAGGACCGTCGCCGAACACCACATCGTATACCACTGAATCGCGTATGAAGAAAAGCGATTAATCACACGTCACACCAAGCACACCGGGCACAATGCGCGGGCGATACATCCCAACGCATATTTGCCAAGCATATTCACACTCGCGTTGATTTGCCTGCAAATTTTCGAACGCCTCTCGTTTTTTGTCGTACACCGACGAAGAGGCTGTGAATACGCTTTCAAACTCTCGCGAAAACCCCACTCAAAAAAAGAACAATCGATTTACGAATCGTTGCCTTTTCTTTCTGCTAAATATTACAAGGTGTAACTCTTACCGCGCACACGAACACACTTTTTTTCTTTTTTTCTTACTTTAATTTCTTTTTCTCTTACTTCACTTATAACTCGTGTAGTCGCTTATTTCACATCACTGTATTATCATCACCGCTCTCGTATTTCGTTAATGGAATTATACGTCGAATATATTTTTCAGCGAAGCGCAAATTCTTCTATCTTTCTCGCGATCGAATAACTTGTCGTGTCACATAACGTGCATTAATCAAACAAATTAATGATATTTTCGTCAACTCGATCGCGCTACAATGCACGCTTGTATATGTACGTCTTAAACGCACTCGCTTCGTTCACTTGGGCCATGTAACGCGGATGGAGCTCGCTTCGCTCCTTCTCACTGCACTACACTACTCAGAGTGACGTCACCGTGGCGGGAGCGTAGTATGGCTCGCTGGCTAGTATCGCTGTGTGCCTCATAGTGGGGAGCAGAGAGTAGGGGAACGAAACGAGTCTACCTCGAAAAGCGGCGGCTTGCAATTGCGATCGTCGCCCGCCAGCCGGTGAAGTGTATCTCTGGAAGGGGAAACTTTTCGTACGCTCCCGGAGGGGAGAGAGTGGTGGGACTCGTTCGAATCGAAGCAAGGACAGGTAGGGAGAACTCGGAACTCCGGGAGAGAAGGGATAACGGGTCGAACGAGCTAACCAAACCCCCAAGCCGCACTCGTCCCTTTCGAGCCGTGTCTATCTCTCTTCTCGCTACCTCTCCTCTTGGCTTTTCTCATCTCTTCTCTTCGTTGAGAACCCCTCTACACCCATCACCTCTTCCCTTTGCCCCTCTTAGCGAATCTCGCACCCTATAGTCTTGTCCTCTTTTCTCCTCTTCTCTTTCTACTCTGCAATCTCTTCGTCCTCTTCCTCCTACGTTGTGCCTCCTCCACCGTCCCCACTTATCCGCCATCTTTGTTGTACGTTCTTTCTCTTTCTATCCCGCTCTCACCAGGGCCGGTTTAGGGGCAGCCAATTACCCAGAGCATCAGTACTTTCTACTAAGAATAAAGACGGAAAATCGGATTATTACGAAAATAAAAATACTTAACTTTGTGACGTGCTCTCTAATCAAGGAAGTAACGATCAAACAAACGCGTCGATTCGATAGCGTGCACAAGCTAATAAAATATTTATCAGTCTAAATTCTTTGTACATAAATGCCATAGTTGCAAAATATTACGAATATAAGAAATTATTTCTATCTTAATTGATATTACGATCTTATTTTTTTTATAACAAAAATAAAAGAAAATAACAAAAAAAAGAAAGAAAAAAAAATATAAAAATCATAGAATAAGAAGTATGTAATATAACAAGAAAATTGAATAATTTTATTTAACAAATTACAAAAACTAGATAAATATATTGTTAATAAACTAATATGTCTCAGTAGTAAAAACAATATATCATTATTAATAATTATATCAAATATATAGATAAAAAAGATGTGACTTTTTTTATTTACTAAAATATTTTCTGTAAATTGAAGAATAATGATGTATTTCAAATTATCATTATGTTGTATTTCAAATACCTAACTTTTAAATATAATGCACTTATTTTCATTATCATCTAATTCAAAGTTTAAACAAGATACAAGAATTATGATTTTGAAAATGATATAGGGCATCAAAATACATTGAGCCGAACCTGACTTTACTCCATCTTGTTTCCGCTAAAATCGCGTCAAAGTCGTAGATTCATGGCGTCGATGTGTGGCTACGAATTCACAAAATCTATCGCTCGTTTGTATTTTACGTGTCGTATTTTCTTTTAATGGTTCATAATGGTTTATTTGAATAATATTAGCTCTATTGGCAACAATATTAAACATCCGTTTGTACAGGGTACGTCATTGAGGCTAGAGAAAGCGATTTCCTGCACTCGTACTGTTTCGTCGAAAACGAAGTTTCATGACTGTTTCATATTGAAAATGTTTTGAATAAGAAACAGCTATTGCGTATTCTATATTGCTGATTTATAGTCACGTGATGATTTATATTCTATGTACAGTGTCCATATACAAAATTAAATCTTAGATTGTAATTACTGCTAAATAAATATACAATTAATTAAAAGCATAAAATATTGTATGGATTTTTCATTTATGTATTTACAAAACTTTATTGGAAATTATATTAAGTATCATTAAATTAAATAAATAATATAAATAATCATATATAATAGTTTTGTCAATAATTCAATTAAAAATACCAAAATGTTTTCTTAATTTTTTATATCTTAATATTTGTTTATCATGATTAATTATTATTTTAATGATTAAATAATAAGAATTTTGAAATCTTTATATAAAATAATCATAATATATAAATAATATATCTTTATATATCAATGAAATAAATGTTGTGAAATTTGAATAAATGTTTTCAAATATATCAAAAATATAATTTTCTATATGGCATATTTTTTTATAATTTAATTAAATTAAGCTAAAAAATATTATCAATATTATACAACATTATGTAGATAGTGGCGACAGCTTTTGAATGAAGAAATTTTAATAATTATTGTTTTTCTTACATTTAGAGCCATCTGTCGGTAACGTTAACATTACGAATTGATTACTTATCAACAGTAAGTACAAACAATAATTCTATATCGAACAAACAAAATTGTTTATATTTTATATTATATACAGAAAACACATAATTGTTGTTTCTCATTATCATTTTTGAGCTTTGATATCTAACCTTTCACATAGTATACTATACTTTTAAACATTCATATGTGTTAAATTAACACATAAATATTAAATTTTTAATTATAATCTTAGTTATATATATTTTTATCTATTTATATTTATGTGTATAAGTCAAAAATAATATGTCAATGTTTGATAAATCAGATATTTCACATATAGAAGAACCATCCATTTTATCATCCGATCCAATCGAGCGGAAGTTGGCACGTAGACTTCGTATACAACGACGTATTGAAGAACGAGATAAGTAAGAGAGATTGTACGTTATAAATTTAAAATATTTTTCCGATTTAAATTGGATTAATATATTTTTTTTTTTTTGATATTAGACAGATAAAAGCTCAAGATCAAGAAATTGAAGAAATAACTCCCATAGAAAAGCAAATTTTTGATAGTATAGAAGCTTTGGAAAAATTAACTGTAGAAGGGCATGAAGTGGTACGTGCAATTTAAATTGTTAATCATTGAGAAAAAAATGTGGTTTAAATTTAATTATATAAAATATGTTTTGCCACATAATTTATATTACGTTAATTTGATTGGCATTTGAAATATATGTAATTAATTTAATTTTATTGTAAATATAACTCTTCTAACAGTGACAATTGAAATTAATAACTTACTCAATAACACGAACTAAATTAATAATATTATTATTTTTAATATTAATTATCAAAAATAGACGTTATTAAAATTTTTAATAAAAAACCTATCAATATATATTTTTAGATTATTGGTGTTAAAATCGCAAGCGATGCCAAGGAATTGGAAAGACGAAAGAAAGTGGAAGAGAAGAGGCAGAAATTATTGGAGATCCTCGAGGAGGAGAACAAAATATACATGGAGAAATACGAAGAAATTACGAAAAAATGGCCTGATATACTTGCCTTGAAACATCCATTAGATATTTATGATGAAATAGAGCTTCAAAATGCCAAGGGTTTCGAAATTCTAAAGAAAAAGGACGAATTCATCGCTCAATTGAAGCAAGAGTTGGAGAATGCCGATTTAATGTTCGCCGAAGATGTGAAGAAACAAAACGAAGATATTAATTTACTCATCGAAAGAATGGAAAATCAAGTGAGTATATTTTTAACTGACAAAAAAAAAAAAAAAGGGATTCTTAAACAATTCATCTCTAAATAATATTTAATATTATTTATTTAATATTTAAAAAAAAAAAATTTTTGAAAAAAAAATACTTTGTCTAAAAGGTAAAAGCGATGACTAAAGCTTATCGCCATGAAATGGAACTGATCGAGAGTGTTATCGAATCTGAGCGTAAGATACTGTTGGAAATTTCTATGGAGAAATGGAATGTGTTGTACAAAAAGGTTCAAGAGGATACTTTTGAAGAGAGGGAGAAAAGGAAGAGAATAATGCAGGAATATGAGAAGGAGATGGAGAAAGTAATAATAGAACACCAAGAGGAATTTAGGAAACAAAAGATCATGTACGAGTTGGAAATACAGAATCTTCAACAAGAAGTGCAGAATATGAAAGCTTTGTGTATAATGAATATTGAGAAATTGGATTACAATTTTGCAGTGTTGAAGCGACGAGACGAAGAAAATACTATTGTGAAAAATCAGCAGAAAAGAAAAATTAACAAGTGTGTATATTAAATGTTATCATTGTTTTAATAATTTGAACAAAATATGAAGAAAAATAATTATTAATACGAATATCCTGTCTCGGAATTCAAATTTCTATTATTTACATTCTAATAGACTTCAAGATATTATTAACAATTTGAAAAAAACTCATTCCGAATTGGAAGAATCAAAAAAGGCGGAAATTCAAAAGCTCACGAATCAAATATTAAAGTCGCAAAAATCTGTGTTGGAATTGGAGAAAAAATCTGATTACCTTGCGATTATCAATGATAAGAAGTACATGCAAGTTTGGGATATGAATATTACAACTGCAAATGAATTAATCGATAAGGTATTTTGTAATGATATATACGATTATTAATGAAATAGTTTAGTTTAGTTAAAATATTTGACGATGTATATTTATATTTTAGATTTTGACGGCAGATAGAATTATACACGAACAATTGTTATTACTGGAATGGCAGCCACCGGAAGAGCAGTTATTGAAAAAAGAAGATTTGCCTTCGTATTGTGGCGCGATGTGTGCCTTAAAAACAGGTAAAATTTATTTAAAAGAAGAATTATTTATATCGTTTATAAACGGAAATAAGTAAAAATTCGATAAAAATCTTCTTTCGTGATTTTACAGAACAAGAGGAAGCCAAGAAAAGAAGAACGATCTCTAAATTATATAAACCACCAACTACCTTGCAAGAAATAAATTTAGAACGACGCTTATTGAATCATATTTTTAAATTGATTTCTAATGAATGTGATTATCTTATCGAAGATACGTTGAAAACCTTACTTTCCGAATATACGGAAGAGAATAATTTACTGATTCGATTGGATAAAGTATTTGAGGTCTGTCTCAAGTAATAGTAATTGTATTATTGTATTTACTTAAAATTTAATATGATATTGATATATTGAATTTATAGGCGTTGAAAATAACGAATGAACAAGAACTTCAATTCTTATTAAATTTTTTCTTACCATACGCGCATTGTCCCACTTGCACAATTAAAATTATAAAAATTCCTAGTGAAGAAATTACTGAAAGTTCATCATTGTATGTAAAATATCATTGATTAAAAAAAAAAAAAAAAAAGGAATAATTTTTATGAAAAATATAATAAAAATATCAAAAATAAATATTTTAGAAGCACTCTTCCTTCCGACATTTGTGAAAACGATTTCGATGCGGAACAAATGAAGTTGATAGGAGCTGTGAAAGAGGCACTTTATGATGAAACAAAAACTATCGATAAATGTGAGAATGAGACTCAGACAAAGCAAGAAGATATATTAGAAGAATCTTCGATTGATTCAACACTTACTGAAACATATATTGCATCGACTTGTATTTCAGAAGGCATTATTGAGGTTACTGATGGTATGTAACTGGAATTGATGTATTAACCAATCTGCCAAAAAAATAACAAACCAATTTTTTTCTTCTTTATTATTTATTAATTTTGTATTAATATTATTATAATAATATTAAATTCTAATCGGATATAACTCTATTTTAATTATTCTTATCTATTAAAGAAAACTTAATATCTTTTAAAAACAATGCAGTAATTATTAATAAGATAAATTATTTTATACAATAATAAAATATCAATTATTGTAATATTATTTATTAATTTTTATTTTTGTAGCCGATGGTGAATCAAAAAGATTATTAACATGCGATAAAGGCCATTTATTGGCAATTGAGACTGAATTTGTTTTAAATGCAGTAAAAGAATTTGTTGAAAGATGTGAATTCGTTAGGAAAGAAATTTCATTGGATAAAGATGTAAAAGAGAAAATAACAGTATCTCGTAATATAACGGAAAAAGATATAATAGATTTTTGGGAACGATATCGAAATATTTTTTCGAAAGACAGAGAAAAATTATGGGATAATTTGTTGGTTGGCCTTAAACAGTATTATGAAGTGTTAAAAGAAAGACACGAATTAAATGCCGAGATAAAAGCATTACGAAAACAAAATACTGAAATGCGTCGTTTACTAAGCGGAAATATGCCAGAGGTAATGTTAAATAAATAAAATATCTTATTACTAATACTTCTTTTAACACAGTATATCATTAGATTATGTATATATGAATTTCAGCCTGAAATCATGCAGCAAATTCAAAAGGATATAATGGATTCTCCAAGTTACATGTAATAGGATCAATAAAAATTATAAATTATTATTACTTATAACATTATATATTTTTGCATTAATTATTAAATGGATATATATACATTCATACAATACTTCAATACCTTTTTGCACTATTTCATCTAATTTCTTTAAAGACATTGTCAATTATTAATTATATATTTTAACATGATACTCACATTTTGTACAATTTATTTTTTTTAAATCATCAAACAAACAAAAGATATGATATAAAAAATTATGTCAGTTATATTTAAATTTAAACTAATTATATTTTAATTATATATTTACATTACATTTTAAAGAAATAGTGCGAAGAGGGAGAGTATGTATCTTAACATAGCAAAATCTTAATGATGATGAATTAAAAAATTGTGTATGACATTATGTATATGTATATTGTTAATGATGATCATTTAAATATCAAATTAATTTTATCATTTGAAGCAATGTGATCCTCAAATTCCTTTTTTTTTTATAAAGAATAAAACGTACGTATCTAAATAATTCATATGTTTATTAAAATAGATAATATATGTTATTTATTACATTATTTTCCTATGTCTGATTTGTGAAACCTCCTGATACAAAATTATTTGATAGTGACTGAACAAGATTTTTAGGATTTACACCAGTTTTAGGTTTTTTCCAATATGGAAAAAATCTTTTCTTTTTTTGAGTTTTAGCTTGTTTTAATTTACCAGTATGTTTTTTGGATGTTATATGCTATAATTAAACATAAATTATATATAAGTGATCAATAAAACTTATTTGTAATATAATGCAATAATATTTTTTGTTTGATAACATACCACATTATATTGTGCCATAGAGTTGAAAATTTTGTTACACAAACCGCATGAAAGTACACCTTTAGAACCAGTATTTTCTTGGACATTTGTGGTCGTTGATGTCACTGAACTGCCAACATCTTTGCCAGCCCTCCCACCTAAGCATCAATGTGCGATCAACACTATCTATGTATCACAACCGCTAAAGCGGTTAAATGTGATAATAAATCAGCTTGAACACTACATTCATGCTATGGAAAAAGCAACTGTTAATACAAATTTTTTTAACAAAAAATTGTCATAAAATTTGAAAGATATATACATGTATATGCATGTGTATAAGAAACTTTACCTCTTTAAAATAAGTATTTAGAATGCATTTGTATTATATTATTATATTATTTTGCATATACTTCCTTTTAAAATTTTTCGCTTCTTTATTAAATAAATGAAAAAAATGATTAATAACATACAAAAAAATTTGTACACAATACTCTATAAAAACAAAATAACAATTAATAAGGTGAAAGAGTTAAATTATTTTGAAAAGAATATTAATTTTATTAATCATAATATGAAATTAAGCAACTCGTAATCGAGTTATTATTTTATGACAATATGTTCAAGGACAAATCAATAATAAATAATATATAATTTCGATTTGATATAAATAAATAATAAATAATACATAATAAATAAATAATAAATAATAAATATCAAATAACAATGTATGAATTACAACAAACATGAAAGTATCACTGATATATTTTCAATAGCATTTGATTAATTTGGCTAGTAAGCTTAGTAAGCATGAAATTTCTTATTAGTTCAAAAAAACATTTGAAAAGCAAAAGTAAGCAAAAGTGTTAAGCATGCAAATGTAAACAAGAGTAGGCAATAAATTAGTATAGCAATATTCTTTTCTATTCTTTTATCCATACATATAGTGCGACTACATCTAAACCCATATGGTAGTGGTTTTCGTACCATATAAGGTTTATTACCTCTCATGGCTTTCTTTTTGTGTCGGCTCCCTAGGAAACAAAGTTTGTTTTATTCGTTACAAATATATAAATAAATGAAATAAATTTTAGTTTAAAAAATACCATTTAAATGTGTTTGAAGTTGTTGTATTGAGTTTAGACACACATTACACACATTGCATTTCAATCCATTCGTTTCTTCATCTTTTGTAAATGCTATTTTGGTTTCTTCAAGAGATGCCATTATATTTTTTGATCTAATCTGTAAAACAAGTGTATGTCTCTACATCTCTCATTTCTGATGTTATTTTATTATTTTATTATTTTATTTATATTAAAATTTATTTTGTTTCTTTAATTCTTCTTTATTGCATGTGTGTTATCTCATACTTCAACTTTTCATTTATACATTTGTTTTTCATCTTTTTCATTATTTTATTTTTACAAACCTGTTTAGCATGGCGTGCCCCTTGTAAATGTGTATCTAATACTGTTTGACTAGTAAATGAAAGATCACAATCATCACAGCGAACAAGGGGTTTCTTTGTAGGTAAATTTCCCATTATATTATCTACTACTGCTTTGGTTACAGGGTCATTAAGGCCAGGATTCATAACACTTTCCGATGATACAGCCATTCTTGAAACTAAAAGTTTAAAATAAGCAAAAATTAGCAAATTTATCAATAATTGAAGTTTAAATTTTATAATAACATAAAATAAAAAAAATTATAGTATCATCTATTAGTAAACTGAAATTAAAACTGAAATTATAATTCTTTTAAAATTGTTTTGTAATAGATATATATTAAATATTATTTCAATTAGAGAATTAATAATTAATAAAATTAATATATATTATAGGTATATTATCAAAAAAGACAATTATATTATCTTCATAAATTAATTATTTAATCATATATTTATATATTTTTTTAAGTGTACCTATCTGTTGTAGATTAAAATCAGATCAAAATTTATTAATGTTATTTAGGTTGTAATAAACGTTATACTTTTTCAATAATTTTCAAAAGGTACTTAGTGGGCAGTAATGTTTATAAGTAAATTCCTTGTTCAATACTTCTGACACAATTTTTCGAGTTGGTTGCCTGCTTCTTTTAGGAACATTATAGTCGACTATTAGCAGTTCAATGTTACATTTGATAGGCTCCAAGAGTTCCTAGAATGTCGTCATTCAAGGCGAGTTTAGTGATCACATCGAGGATTAAAATACTGCGCACAATAACGTATTATTTACAAACATTGTTCTACCCGGTTGAATTAATGAAGCAATAATGAAAAGATACGGAAAATATATATAAATGATACGGCAAATCAATATTTGTAATTTAAACACTTCTTAAATGATTATTTGGTTTCTATCAAATTTCAGTTACAAATATTCAGTTCAAAAGTATTGTAAACTTCAACTTTTGCTTATAAATGCGTAATATATCTATATATTATCTATATAGTCCTTCAGTTTGTTGCCTCGATCAAATTTGAAATTCTTCGATTATATATATTTATTTTTGAATAAAATTTGTAGATTTAGAAAAGATAAGATAAAAAATTCAAATTTATGAAAAAAAATTTATGTTATATATAATTTTAATAATAGATAATAATATATATAATAAATATCTACCGAGTTAATATACAACTTCTGGATTACTAATGGAAGGTGATAAAGTTACTTATATTAAGAAAGTTTGTCCATTAAATATGCATAAAATCAAACAGGTGAATAAAGCTTTGCGAAAGATCGATCCAATCAGAGGTTTTCGAAGTGCGATGTTGGTCGTAGTAGAGCGTAATATTCGCGGTTTAAGAAGGGCAGCCAATTAGAAAAGTTGGCGAATATCATCGGTCGGTACTTAGGTGCGTGTGTTTGTATAAGTACATATAGGTGACGGTCGCGAAATATAGTAGCAGCCATCTTATATTTTGTGTCGGAGAAAAACAATTTGGCCGTACAAATGTTTCGCGATTGTCCGTGAAACCGCTTGAGAACGGGAGGCGTGCGCTCGATGAGGCGTGACGTTTTTCGACCCTAGCCCGGACCACTACATTAGCAAAGGTTCGTAGAATGTTGCTTTCTTGCTCGGCTACAGCAAAAGCGACCCCCACTTGCGAAGCGCTTACGAAGAATCCGGTTTCGCAGTCAAAATATTCCGCCGTTTCTCCCGTCGCTTTTTTAAAAATAGAGTTGCCCGTGTTGCTCACTGCTGGGTTACGTTCTGTTGACGACGGCATTGTGCCGTCTTCGAGTGCTTCGCGTAAAAGTTATGCAATCAGCTGATCATCCAGCTACCTTCTGTCACTTGTCAAAGATAAATGTCAAAGCAATTGGTCTAACCTGACACGCGGTATATATGAGTTGGGCATGCATGATCCCAGAATTACGAGTGTACCTACATCGTCGCAAATTTTTGCGCCACAACGAGTGTCATAAATGGCGATTTATAGAGGTTCCCTGTCATGCAGGTGGATTGGTACGCAGGATATGAGCAGCTTGTCAAGCGCAACCTGACTCTGCTCCCACATCAAGAAGCAGTGCAGCAGCAGGAGCCACAATCACAACAGCTGGCTCAACAGGAACAGACTGATATAATGACGTCCATGTTTGAACAACAAATCAAAAGTGAACCCATGGGGTTTTATTCTGTTGCTTCAAGCCGTTCGGATGGTTCAAATTCTATGGTGAATTTATCTGATGATCGTGAAGATCTTTCGCAACAAGAAGGTCATCTACAAGCCCAGCAGCAGACAACGTTACAGTTAAACCAGCAACAGGGTCAACAACAAACTCAACAACAGAATCAACAAACGCAACAGGGTCAACAACAGCAGAGTCAGACTGTGCAACAGGAAGTTCCAAGCCGTCAGTCGACAGGACAACAAACAGTTAAAGAAGGTTCACGGTCAAAGCCACAACCCTGTAAGGTATGTGGCAAGGTGCTGTCTTCTGCTTCATCGTACTATGTACATATGAAACTTCATTCGGGCAACAAACCATATCATTGTACAGTATGCGAAGCAAGTTTCTGCCGGAAACCATATTTGGAAGTGCACATGAGGACGCACACAGGAGAACGACCCTTTCAATGTGAGTTGTGCTTGAAAAGGTTTACTCAAAAAAGCAGTCTTAATACTCATAAAAGAGTGCACACAGGAGAGAGACCATACGCCTGCGACATTTGTCAGAAACGTTTTGCAGTGAAAAGCTATGTGACGGCACACCGTTGGAGTCACGTTGCCGAAAAGCCTTTGGTGTGCGATAGATGTTCTCTCACATTCACGTCCAAGAGTCAATTCGCAATACACATCCGTACCCATACAGCAAGTACTACGTACGAGTGTAACATATGCGGACGTACATTTGTACGTGATAGTTATCTAATACGGCATCAAAATCGAGTACACCGTGATATGAATCAAAGCAGTACGAATCATAATCCACCTACACCTCAAAGCACTGGTGGTGGTACACCAGGTACGGGCTTCGAAAGTCCGGTTTGTGATTTACGCTACAGCGAAGGACCTTCCTCGTTGGACGGATTGACCGGTTCTAAAGGAGGGATCGCGGCTGAAATCGCAAGTTTAGCCAAGCAAAATAATCTTCAACTTCCTCTACCATTGCTACATCCGCAGACAACCAACTAGTGTTTAGATGACAGCGTGTCCGAGCCCCTACCGCAACATCAATCACCGCAGCAAGTAGTATGTCCCACCTCGGCGTCTTCGCCATTCACACTTAATTCACCTGTGTCTCACGAGCACACCACACCGCAGAGTGTCTACCAAACGACAGGCTCTTCCAGTTCACTGGATAGCCTCAACTCCCAACTTTATCCATCCCCTATAGATTCATCGGAGTCGCATCATCAATCGCAGCAACTGCATCGCGGCATTCCTCCGCCAGGGCTTCACCCTGCACTTTATCTGTACGCTCAGTACTCGAACACGAGTTCCCCTATCGAGTATCCCGAATATATTCAACGCAACAATGAATAGAGTCAGTTTATGCCAGCAATCACGATTTTTACCACGAACGGAGTGATTAATTCGCCCCCAAACGCGGACCTCTTCGATCGCATGTCATTTGTCAATGGTGCTGGTTACAAACAAAGTGCCTAAAGAGCATCCGCTTTCTGGATCATGACCGGATGCTTATTCAATCGTGGATTAACGATACTAAACGATTTTTATGCACCGATTTTATTTTAATTTTTTAAAATGGAAATGAGTGGATCAATTGTAAATTGATTACCGTTTTGTACTCGATACTTCTCGGTCCATTTAATGGATTCTATATTGAGCGTATTTTAACAAGAATTAAATAGCACCGTTCGAAGGGACGTGCACAAACTACGCAACAACCCATCGATCGTTTCCTCGATTCTTTGGATTTTCCTCGTTTTACCAATCTGTCGTGGTACATCGATGTTAGCATAAACTACACGAGTTTTCCAAGTTTCCGCACTTCTTAATTTATCTGTTTTTTAATCACATCTGCGAGTACATATACATATATATATATATCTATGTGTGTATATATATTATGCGCGAGAACCATTACACGTACACACACAAACACGCATACACACACATTTACACATACACATATTTATATTATATTTTTAAAGGAGTTTAGTCACTTGGATCTGTGATATAGATAGTAATTATTACCTACAACGTTTAAACTATTGGTTTACTATTTTGATGATATCAAAACGAGGAAAAAAAAAAAGAAAGAAAGAAAGAAAGCAATGTCACGGAGCGATGTAGTTATCAGAATTTATCGTACATTGGTCTCTACCGAAGGTGTTTGGTAGACACCCTACTATATTACTTTTACAAACAAACAAAGAAAAAAAACAAGAACATTATTGTTACTAATGCTACTACTAGTACTACTACTACTATTACTACACTATTAGTACTACTACTCTTACTAATAATATTAGTCTCCCTCCACTACCATTACTACCCCACTACCATCACTGATATTTCCTCAACTATATATTACTCTCGCTATTATTATTACCACTACCACCACCACTATTACAATCATTATCATCATCATCATCATCATCATCATCATCATTATTATTATTATCATTATTATCATTATTCTTATTATTATTACTACTACTACTATTATTATTATTATTATTATTATTATTATTACTATTATTATTACTATTACTACTACTTCTACTTATTATTATTATTACTATTATTACTATTACTATTATTATTATTATTAATATTAATATTATTATTATTAGAAAGACGCAATGTTACTTCATTTTAGCAATATGTGTATAACGCGTTTATTGATAGGATCTATATCCCGATCGTCATGGTTTCTCTTCAACTTTCTTCGTTATTTTATTATTTTATTTCTCTTCCTTTCTTTCTTCTTCTCCTCTTCTCCCCTCCTTCTTCTCTTCTTCCTCTCTCTCTCTCTCTCATCTTTCCTACCTCTTTTATCGTTTTTTTATCTTTATTCTTTCGATGCCTAATTTTTCCACGCCTCATCTTCATACGTATCTAAATGCTAGAAACGTATCAAAGATGTCGGTATTATTTTTATCACGTAGGATTATTGTACAGCTTATGAATCAGTTCCATAGGTGTACTTACTTTTCACATATCGAAGTGTATTGTACACGCAAGATACATATTGTACATACGTATACATATACATATAGATGTATTATAAAATGATGAGCGGATGTGCAGATCGTAAATTCTAAGTACTAGGAGTGTAATAGCAGGGCTGTTGATTTTTCTCTTTTGACTATTGTTAGATATTAATTTTTAATGATTACGATTATTATTATTATTATTATTATTATTATTACTATTAACGTTCTAATTATTACAATTATCACGATTACTATCGATAATTTTTAAATTCTAACGCTACAAAGCTTAGATACAGCAAGCAGGGAACCATGACAACCGCGAGTCAAAGAAAGAGAGAAAGAAAGAGAGAATGAGAGAGAGAGAGAGAGAGGAGAGAGAACAGAGAAGAGAGAGAGAAAGGAAGAAAAAAGAGAAAAGTTGGGAGGAAAGAGTTTTTCGTTTTGTTTTATAAAAAAAATTTCGCGTAAGGTCCATAAGTGCAAGATGTGTCTGTTTGTTTTAACGATACACGAAAATAGACAATGGCGCGCGCGCGCGCGCGTACATGCGCCAAGCGATTTCAAATTGCTACCGGCAAAAGAGGGAAAAAGGTATATAACGCGAGAGGCTCAACTCGATCGAAACGAATCAAAGGGTAAAGATTAATTGCGTCGAATGAGAGGAAAAAAAAGAAAAATGGGAAACGTGATAAAATGCAAAAAATGCATTGAAACATATTGAAATAAAACGGTGAAATAAAGGGAGAAAAGAGAGAGAGAGAGAGAGAGAGAGAGAGAGAGAGAGAGAGAGAGAGA